CATTAAACTTTTTATTTAATATCGCAAATTCCTCTTCATCTTCCTCTGCTTCTTTACCAAATGATAAAAGATTGAAATTTCTGTAACAAAATTTTCCATTGTAAAGAACAATACTATCAGGGTTAAATTCTACAAACATATATGATTTTTACTCTACTGCAGCTGTTTTAGTTTTTAAACTGTACTTTACTTCTTCACTTTCCTGTACTATAATATTATCCTTGGTGTAATATCAGAAAATGGATTGTTTAATACTATCATTTTTATCAATCTCGGAGGGTAAACTGGTCTAACATTCTACAAAAAAGAGGAAATATTAGATTTATATTAATTCTTGATATATTTTTCTTAAACATTAAATTTACCTCATCTACAAGTGTTTCTTCAAGTTCAAGCATGTAATATATAGTTCTACAGTAACATAACCAAAAATTGAATGTCCATTCTGCAAATCTAATTGAGAACCAAGAGTAAAGAAGAATTGGGAATCATTGTCATCTTCTCCAGCATTAGCCACAGCAATTAAACCACAGGAACGTAACCTAAAATGAACTGAAAAAAAATTATCAATCCAGTTAGAGAAAATTTCACTCTAAACTGATGTATAGAACAAACCTAATCAAAAAGCCCAATTTTGAAGATAGAAGAAAAAAAAGTCTATTACGTGGCACGATTTCAGAGCTACTGACACATTCGGCACTATTTTTCGAAAACGCACTCTCAAAACCGGAAAAAAATATCCAATTCTGTTAAAAAAAATTCGACTCTACACTGACATATAGCACAAACCTAATCAAGAAGCCTAATTTCGGAAATAGAAAAGAAAAAGCTCTATTACCCAGCACGATTTCACAGCCACTGACACATTCGGCACTATTGTTCGAAAACGCAAGCTCGAAACCGGAAAAAAATATCCAATCCCGTTAGAGAAAATTCCACTCTACACTGATATATAGGACAAAGCTAATTAAAAAGAATAATTTCGGAAATAGAAGCCAAAGAATTCTATTGCGCAGCACGATTTCACGGCCACTGACACATTAGGCACTATTTTTCGAAAATGCACGCTCGAAACCGAAAAAAAATATCCAATCCCATTAAAGAAAAAATCACTCTACGCGAATATGTGGAAAAATCAGATTCAAAAAGCCTAATTCAAAAAATAGAAACCAAAAAAGACTATTACGCAGCACTATTTCAAAGCCAGTGACACATTCGGCTCTATTTCTCGAAAACGCACACTCGAAACGCAAAAAAAATATCCAATCCCGTTAAGGAAAAATGCACTCTAAACGAATAAATAAAAAAAACCTGAGTCGAAAGCCTAATTTTGAAGATAGAAACCAAAAACGAAAACTGCGCACCACGACCTGTCACCCACTGACACATTGGGCACTATTTTAAGAAAACGCACGCTCGAAACGAATAAAAAATATCTAATCCCGTTAAGGAATAATTCACTTTACGCGGATAAATGAAAAAAACCTGAGTCGAAAGCCTAATTTTGAAGATAGAAACCAAAAAAGTAAACTACGCAGCACGATCTGAGAGCCATTGACACTTTCGGCACTATTTTAAGAAAACGCACACTCGAAACGCAAAAAAATATCCAATCCCGTTAAGGAAAAATTCACTCTACACGGATAAATGAAAAAAACCTGAGTCGAAAGCCTAATTTTGAAGATAGAAACCAAAAAAGTAAACTACGCAGCACGATCTGAGAGCCATTGACACTTTCGGCACTATTTTAAGAAAACGCACACTCGAAACGCAAAAAAAATATCCGATCCCGTTAAGGAAAAATTCACTCTACACGGATAAATGAAAAAAATCTGAGTCGAAAGCCTAATTTTGAAGATAGAAACCAAAAACGAAAACTGCGCAGCACGGCCTGTCACCCACTGACACATTCGGCACTGTTTTAAGAAAACGCAGACTCGAAACGCAAAAAAAATATCCAATCCCGTTAACGAATAATTCACTCTACGCGGATAAATGAAAAAAACCGGGGTCGAGAGCCTAATTTCGAAGATAGAAACCAAAAAAGTCAATTTTGCAGCACTATTTCACTGCTACGGTCACTTTCAGCCTTATTTTTGGTAAACGCACGCCTGAAACCGTTAAAAAATATTCAATCCCGTTAGAAAAGAATCTTGTCTACGCTGTTATATGGATAAAACCTAATCTAAAAACCTAATGTCAAGATCATATGGGAGTAAATATAACAGCGCAACACGACCTGTCACACACTCGTTCTTCCGTCGCTTAATTTCGACAATGACCGGTTAAAATAGTAAAAATTGATATACTATGTAAAGAAAAGCGTATCCGGTCGAGTAGTGTAGAAGAAACCTATTCCAAATCCGAAATTTCAAATATATAAACGATAGCATGTAACTAGACAACACCTTGTAACAATTGCTTGCCTTCCGTCAATTTATTTTAGAATAGAACGTTTAAAATGAAGAAATAATTATGCAGGACAATTAGGAAACTGCCTTTACCAATCTATGTCAAGCAAAGATCACAATGGCTAATCGAAGTTTGGAATCTGCCATCGATAATATGTAATTTCGTAAGGACCTTTATACTATTTGTACTCCCGCCACGTTATTTTACATTTGCATCGTCAATATCTAAAAAAAATTAGGAAAACTATTAAAAGCTGCCTATTCAGAGTAATGGTGATCTAATATCCCTACGAACAATTGAAATCTAGAATCTATTGCTGACAAAGCTGATGTATTACACTCCCGGATATTCACTCCCGGCACTTTATGTCGCACATGTCACTTTTGTATATGCACTATTATAACCTCACTTCGTCCCACATGTGATGAACAAACGTTAGATGTCTTGATTTTGTTAAAGTTCTGTTAATTTCTTAATCTTGTGGTTTCGCTCACTGGTAAATATCGCGACAATGTTGCAAACGTAACCTACAATTTTAACATTACGATATAATAGCTGATACTGCCCATAATTGTCCTCGAATCTATATTACCGCGATTACAGCATTAATCGCATCACTCGTTAATAACTCTACTGCACGAATCGTTTTGTACCGATATCGAAAGTTTCACTTTCACGCGTGAAAATATTCCGCCACGTGTTACCGGTACGTTCGTTTTGGCGGCGACTAGAAGTTGGTTGCGCCTGCGCAAGCTATGCACCGTTGTCGCGGGAAGGTACTTCATTTTTGAAATAGCTATGTACTAAAGTATCGATGTAGAGTATCAAACAGTGACTCATATTTAATTACAAAAGAGCAATTACAAATATGTTTCTGTTATGAAAATAGCAAATTGAAAAGTACTTAATCTCCACGATAAAAGTGTTGTAAATTAATAAAATTAAAATTAACATAGAAATCTTTAATGACAAAAAGGAGTTGATATAAATAAAAAGGTTTTAAGAATTAAAATTACATTTTTTACTGGATTGTACTGTATTGTACTCTACTGTACTGTACTGTACGAAAATAACAAATTAAATGGTGCTTAATTTTTACGGTAATAACGTTATAGCTTAATACAATTAAGATTAAATTAGAAGTCTTTAAGATTTTTAATTGAGGTTGAGAAATTGCAATATTCATAGATGTAACAAGTCTCCTGGTAACTTCTAGTGAAATCAATATTACAATATGTGCATAACTCTTTTAAACACTTACCGTTACTAATATCAAGAAAATACAAATTGGTAGTTGATAAGTTGCATATATTTATAAAAGTGAAAAGTCTTCTGGTAATTTCTAGTAAAATCAACGCTAAAATATATACACAACTAGTAGAAGACAGTAATATTCATAAACCTGAAGAATCCACCTAAAATATTTCCCAATAACTTCTAGAAAATCGGTGCTATTTTATCTACGTAAATGACAACGCATTGCCGAATAAAAAGTCGGTAATATCGAACGACTTAAAAATTCTTTCACGTTTTATACTAATAATAAGCACTAGTATCTAATGGAAAACTGAATTTCATTCACGAATGTAAACAAAAATTCGAGCGAGAAGGAATAACTTTTATTTACGAGATTCTTCTCCGAACGTGGACCGATTTTGGAATATTATTTTTGGATGAACTGTTAAAATATTTAAGTCAATTTTATTTGAAATACCTAGATTAATATTCCATATTTTAAACTTTGTGGAAATCTTGAAGATATCTCCTACTTTCTTTTTTTTAAGAATTTGTGTCTACAATTTTTCTATCATTAATCGAAAAAGAATATGACATATAAAAGAATATGGGATAGTATCGTTGCAACAATAATTTCATATAGTTGTATGAATAGTATGTGGAATAATGGAGACACGCAATCGCTAAAACGATAATGCTTGTTCTTATGCATACAATCAATTCAATCCACCAGGGTCCAAGTGTTATAAAAATATTATCTGAATCCGGTGATCTTGGGCTTGGTTTTATTACAAAATACCTACGAATGCTTTACACTTTACACTGAAATAAAAATACATGTCTCAATCGCGTGACGCCTCATTCGAAATCTCAGCGACTTCTAACATCGACCTGGACATTTTTACATTTATATACAAAATTCGTGGTTATACACCACGTTGGCCAAGTTATTTTCATCTTAACTAAACCACCGAATGACAGAATTTCGCTAATTAATAACACACGGAGATTAAAAGATTAAGAAAGAAAACTTCCAATTACACGAACAAAATATAAGGAAGCAACTGATCATTCTCCTAAACTACCTACGAGTTCGTCATTCAGATAAACTATTGATCTGCATACTTATTCCATTATAATTCTCTTATTCTTATTCTTTTAGCTATTACAGCTTCGCAGATCATCGCTGATCGACCAATTGGAAATTAATTATGACAATGAATAATAAAGGCTCAGAAGTTTGAGATTACTTCATTTGGTAACTTATTTCACGCTAGTATCGCACGGTTATGGAAGACTAAGGATTCTTCGCACGAGATCAACGTGACAGACACTTCATGGTGAATATTTAGCTACAATCTTTCCACCTCTGTGGTCGAATTCCCGCTTTTCTTCGATTTCATGCTTGATCTTCGTATCATACTGCTCTTTAGAGTTTCGCCACGGAGAGAAGCTCTCATCGAGTTCCTCGCGCTGTATCTTGAGAAGGATCTGAACATGGCAACCGGTGGTACTTCCTCGTCATCGCGTTTCCTGTGGAGAAATGTTCGACTTAATCTTTCAATTCGATTATACTTCTCTTCCTATCTAATTTAATATAAATTAAATTTTTCTTATCTAAATTGATTTAAATTAAATGAAAGAAGGGTCTTCTAGGATCTCAAATCACTTTAACGTGATTTTACCTTCCGAAACAAGGAGCTTCCCACATCTTCTGATCCTTGCCGAAGTCCTCCCCGTCCTGCAGCGTCTGAGGAAGATCTTGATTCAGCGTTTCCGGTAGAAACAGAGTCACAAGACCGCCCATGATTCCAAGTATCCCCAACACGAGCAGAGGTAAAATCGGTGAAACGACATCGAGATACACCACAAACGGCGCGAGAATACTAGCAACGTATCCCATTATGTGTATCAAAGCTACACCCTGAGCCCTAACTACAGTTGGCAACACTTCAGCCGCATACTGCAGGCCAATGTTGTAAGAAATGTTTATCCAAAATCGACCCAGAATTGCCAAAGTGGCTGTGTAAATATCTGAAAGAAATTTCAAAAGTTAGAGCAATAATCAAATGCATAGTATTATACTATGAGAGATACAAGAAATAATACTTGAGACATTAAAATGTATAATAAAATAATGACTCGGTAAAGTATACCATATATCACGTCCATCTCCTAACATGTAAAACTGAGATCGATAAATTGTTATTATAAATGGTTATAATATGTTTACGAAGGTTATATAATTTTCGAGATAAATGTGAAACTTATGAATTAATTAATAATAAGAGAACCCATAGGAATAAATATGAAAAACGAGATGTACGAACTATTGGAGACTGCAGAGGCCCAGATACTGAAGATACCGGAAATGACAAGGGACCCGCAGGCCAGCCATCTTCTACCCCATCGATCAAGAACAATCGTGAGGAACGTGTCAGCAGGCAGCTCGGTTGCTGCAGCAATCGTGAATGTGATAAACACGTTCAAACCTAAATTATCGACATTTCGTACGTGCCCATCGAACACCAAAGAAATCGCCATCCTGCGTTACAGAAAAAATTTGATACGATAAAACGAACGTGTTATTTCACGCGAAACACGAATGCCTTATATTAATAACATTGGATCCAACGAGAAATATTTATTCCACGTACAACAAAAAATTCATAAATTATCAGAAGGACACGATTTCAATTTTACGTCGAAGTTTCTTGGTATCCGTTGGAGAACATTACGTACCAAATTACGATAAACAGAACGGTGATATTCCTCAGTCGTGGGGTTCTGAATAAATCCAACACGGAATAAGTCTTGTCCGCCTCTTCCTCTTTGCATATCCTAGCACAGGTCTCCTGTTGTCGTAAATCATAGCTCGTTAACGTTTATGCCTTTGTTTCTTGCGAAACAAACGTTACATAGTTTCTTCGAGGTATTTAGCTGCTTGCTTACGAAGTTTCACTTCGTTTCGCGAGTTATTTTTGCACGAAATATAAGTCGATCGTAGAAGGATTGAGAAATCGATTTGTTTACCCGGAACTGTTTGTAGACGTCATCAGGAACCTTAGTGCCGTTTATTTTCTCGAACTTGCCCAGAATCTCGATAGCCTTGTCCACCTGACCTTGGCTCACCAGCCATCGGGCGCTTTCCGGTATCAACCATGGCGTTGCCACGGCAAGGACAAGAGGGACCGAGGTAGCGATGCACGTCATCCTCCAATCCGCCAAAAAATACGCGATCCATGGTAGAACGCAGGTCGCGAATGTGAAGAACATGGCTATCGACATGTTCGCCACGAATGTTCGCCATTTTGGTCCGACGTATTCTAATACTGAAATAAAAAACTTGGTATTTAGGTACATTATTCGTAAGATCGATAACTGACGTAGAAATAATGAAATAATATGAGTTATAGATACGATAAATAGATAGAAAGGATAGAAACATTGATTTATTCGACACGAACATCTGCCATTTTGATTCGCTATGCTTCGACATACAAACGCAGAAAATAGAGTCGCGTGATAGGAAGAAAAAAGAAAAGAATTTAAAATAAAAATTCGCGATTTGAACGCTAAAAATTGGTTGAGACATCACGATTTTGATAAGGAAAAACCTCAATGGCAATTATAACAGGCCACTAATTCAGACTAATTGAAGACGATTCCTGATTAGAACCCAGACACCATTAAATGACTAACACAGTTGCTTCATTAAGAACAATTACTCCCTATTTTGCGACAAGTACAAATAGACGTGCACGGCTGATAAATATCCACGTGCTTGACGTTTCCTGTCCTCTCACATGATTGTGGAATTAGAGTGGCGTTTTCAATCTATCGGAGGTGATCACGAGACACTAATTTCGCCTACGATTCGTGACTTATGAAAATCATTTGATCATCGGTTTAATTGTTCGAGACCACTTTTGTCTTCTATATCTTCCAGTAATCGATGTTGCCTATCATCAACGAAGATTTAAGTTACAGCTACCTTTGAGTACAACTCCATTATGAGAGACTTCCATCTTGTCACAATTAACAGAAGATACGTGCTGGTAACTGGCTCGGTTAAATTACACCCTTCCCAAAGACAATCCGTAATTTACTATCATCACCGAAATTACAGAGTTGCACGTTCTCATGATAGCTTGCGAGTTCCTTAAGCGCACAATAGCGAACGAAAAAGGATAATCGACCTCGTTAAAAGGGGCAATGACTCTCCTCGAATTATATTCAACCTTCGTAACCTAAAGAACTTTCATTTAAATAAAAAAAACGTATCAGAATTGCTGATCCATCAATGACTGTCATGATCGACTTACATAAACACGATCACTTGATTCATTAAACATGATTATGCATTCAAGATCGGTTGCTCCAGTAATTAAGACTCGCTGTCTCATTTGGAATCGTATTATCAATTAGCCATTTAATCTATCGTCGATCAATTTCATTAATTTTGCGAATAATTCAACCGAATCAGATTCCGATTTTATACAGACTTGGCTGGGCCCAAATTTTTTTCGATAAATTTTAAAACAAAGAGCCTCGAGGGCACAATTATTAATTCATTATCTTCCTTCGACTACTGCAAACAGCTTTCATGAGCATTTCCCATATCTTAGCTCCTTATCTGACACGAGTACAAAATTCCGACCGGTTAATCGCCTGTCTGATATCCAAGGCCAATAATCAAGTTTAATATGAGACCAGCAGGTGTGCCAATACCCATCAACGACACTGCGTATCGAATCCTCGACACGGTCTTCAAACTATCTCTCAACCTCGATACACTTCCAAACCCACCAAATAAGGAATAAAACTAGCAAGATATCTTCGCGATTTGTTCTCTCCACAGAGTAACAACTCTAATTCCGATGTCTTCATCTACCAGTCATCATCTCCCATTACGGGATCTTCCAAATACCTCGTACTCTTCACTCACACCACCGTTAGCATTATTTCCCGCTATGCGTCTGATACTCGAGAAGAGAACAGATATTGCTCGCATAGAAACTCGGGATGGAAAAACGGAGAACCTTCCCTCGTTTCATCGCTCGGGTCTATCGAGATTTACTACCTCCAACGTAACATTACTGCGCGGAAGAAGCATTCGCTTTTCTCCAAGGCGTTCTCCAGCTCTCCGTCAACGGGGAACCGTGCAATTCCGTATCGTCGTCCCATCGAAAGACCGGCCAGTTTACAGTAAACGAAGGTCCGTGTGCACGGCTGGCAAGATAAATTACAGACGACTGGATTAATAATAATAATCTCGCCGATATCTCGCGTGTCCGCTGGAGGATCGATCGGCAACACGAGCTCTGTGTCCAACGCAAGGACGTTGTTCACGTTTCGAAACTGATTAACGTCCTGTTTCTTCGTTCCTTTTTCCACTCTTTCCTCCATTCTTTCCCTCCTCGATTCGCCAGTTGCACACTTCCTTGCACATTCCGCCGATAGCTTTATTTAATCAACCGCGACTCGCGCGCCAAACCGACAGTTCATTGAAATTTTACTGTTTTAACGAGCCGGTCGAATGGTTTCCCACGTGGATAATAAATTACGAGTGAAAGAAGGATTCGCGTTGATGATATCAAGCAGCGAGTTAGAGATCGGTATTTCACGAGGACTCGCTGCGAGGACTTCTACGTTAACGGAGGAAGGAAGGAGAGTGGATGATGAGTAAAAATGGTGGAGCGAGAAGAAATATCGTGCGAGATATTTGCAGATTTATTGGAGAATCGTAGGAGTGGTGTGAAATACGAAGAAGATTAAAATGTTCGATGTTGGATGCAGCTAGTTGATAGCGAAGCTCCGCTTCGGGGCATCGGCCATTTTGTTTGGCATAAAGTTCACTAGTTTACATAACCTATATCTCGTACCTTCTATTGTCGCAATTTCGCATTGAAAATTCGAAATACACTCTGTAATTGAAATATAATTCTCGACTGCTGCTATATTTGAAACTGTCGACTTCGCTTCTGCAGGTAAATAAGCATCTATGTACAAATACGTTTTCCTTTGGAGTCAATATACACACAGGAAACGAGGAATAAGGACCACGTTTATGGAGAATTTTGTTGTAAATTCGCGAAATTGTTTCCAGGAACTGCAAAATTTTGAAAGGGAGATCAGCTAAGAATTTTGATATCTCAGAAGTCTCTTTACTTTATCATGATTTAGTTAATCACTGCCGATGATGTAACGCGTTACGTATGCGGGGCGAATAAATAACCGAGCTTATCTCGATTGCAACTACATTCTGTTTTCTCACCGATTAGCATATGATCGACATTCTCGCGGATCGATCCTCTTCGTTCCAGACCAGCGCCTCGATGCATCATTGGCGAGCGATCATCGAACGACCTTGACAATTAAGAAATCTGAACAGCGATCAACGAGCCCGACCTGCACGCGAATCTCGTCAACTTGACCCAGTTTTCGTAGCAGGTCGTAAATTTTTCCAACCTCGACTTGAGTCATCGAGTCACGGTTAATGCACGTCACCCGGGTTTCGTTGGTCTCGATTTTCACTGCTGGAATGCTGTCTAGAACGCCTTGCTATTCGATCAGGAGAGCCCATTTCAATGACTCGTCTGATGAACCTCTACCCTCGAATTTACATCGAAATGGTGTTGATTTTACATGGATCGATAGCTTCCACCTGGAAGCTCCGTTTTAGATACTAAGGTAGAGATAGGGGTTGTTTAAACACCTTCTCTTTGAAACATTAACGATCGTTCTGGGGTTTGTAGTTTTGAATATATCTGAACGTTTAACCGATGAGATTTTTGAGAATTTTATGTATATTTCGTATATAATAAGATACTGTGAAATAATAAAATACCAATATTTAACAAATGTGATTCTTTTAGATGCTTAATGTGACTCTCGAGGAAGTCTCAAACTCGTGAAACTTTTACAAAGGTTGCTAATAATTTATATATAAAATATTTATATATAAAATAGAAGACATGGCTGTCTAATATTTCTGACAGACAAAATAAAAATTGAGTTAAATTTAAATTAATATCGGTAACATTCCGCGAACCCAGATTTAAAAGTTACTGGATATAGTAGAGATCTGGATAGTAAAATCTAGCAGACACAAAGTGGGCAGAATTCCAGATGATTATGCAAGCGGTAATATACCTATGGTGTATCATATACTGAACGTGCTTTGTATAAAATGTCGGTATAAATTATGCGCGTATATCGAGTGATTTAAATGTTCCACTTGGACAATGAGATTTATTGGAATTTTAACCGAGACAGTTTTAAGTATCAGAGACACGTTAGAAGTTACTCGATAACGTAAGGTGTAGGTTAGATATATGTTCTTGTACCATATCCAGCAATCGTTTGAAACCTGTACATGCGTTCCTAGTCGTGAAAGCGTTAAAGGATTACTTGCCGGCTACGTTCACTTTCTGCATGAAAGAGCGAGTTTATGAAAAGTTCCATGTATTGCACTTATTTGGTAACCGAGCGAAATTTTTGCCAATCAAGCGTACATAATTTCGCCTGCTTGTGAAAAGGAAGAATTATAATACGCTTTAAATCCGAAGTCTACCTGCTTTACAAAATTTCACGCCAAGTAACTTTCGTAATCAATGTATCTCGTGCATTAAATATGCACCGTAATTCTGTTGCCAAATCTCTAATTAATCTATCATTACGCGAACTTAGATTCGACTCGTTTCGAAACCACTTGCGTGCGAGAAAATCGTATCGAGCTACTTTCAAACGATACGAACGTAACAGAATAAAAATATTCGCTCGTTTAAAAGCTTCGTTAAACAGGTGACGCTTCCTGATACAAACCGCGGTTAGAAAGTAACGAAGTTTGACACGATCTAAACTGTGCAGTTAAAAAGCAGAAATTTACGACCTCATGCATATTCATATGTATCTCAGTGACGTGGTAACTTCGAATAGTTCTCAACTGCATTAGTCGATTGTCGCACAGCTATGTGCGCGATATTGCGAACCCAGAAGGATTCGAAAGCACGTACTTGAAGAAAGGTCAGATATAAATCAAGCATAATAGAGAGATCGCGATGGTGGTACATTATAGCAATTACCGTTCGATTGCTTCAATTTTAGTACCTCTCATCTCGAAAATATCAGAAATCCTGTTTCATTCTCTCCAAATATACAGCAAGCTTCAGAGTCTGTCCCAGGAACTTGCAGAACTACGAACTTTGGCAGTAATGGAAAAATTGAAAGGCGAAAATGAAATATAATAATTACCCAATATGTACATCATGGTGAAGCAATTGTCGAAGGCAAATCCAACAAAGAAGCGACACAATGCGAACTGCCAGAAGGTAGTGGTGAACGCAGTGGCAACCCCAGCGAGAAAGCCCATTAGATTAGATCCAATCAAGGCTGGTATTCTTCCATATTGGTCAGCGATCCATCCAAAGATCAATCCCCCGAAGATAGCCCCAATGAAGAATATACTCTGTGCCACAGTTGGCAAAGCGTCGTACTGACAAACCCATTCTAGCTGCAACAGAGGACTTCGGTAGAATGATCTACTTCCGGTGACGAAAGCACGGTAGGAAATAGCAGGGAACTTGCAGTTTCGATCGAAAGAATTTCTCGGCGATGCTTCAGGATTCCTAATGAAACGCGTTTCTTCCGCTTTTCCTCGTTTTTCCCGTCTCCAAAGCGAAAGAAGGGGAAAGGGGAGAGATACTGCGCGTTCTCGCGTGAAAATCGTTGCGTCTTCCGGGCGCTTGGAACCCCTGCAGGAAAAGTTTCCTTCCCTTCGTACAATGCGAAGTTCATCGATGTCGATGGAACAGTCTCGCAGGACAGTCGGGAACATTGATTAAATTTCAGTGGGGTAGATTTACGTTTCGACAAATAATATTTCGAAGCTTCGTCCTGCAATCCCACTAGGTGCAGACTGTAAACTTCCTCCTCGAGTTTCACGATCTTCAGCGACGAGGTAACTTTTGAAAATCGTTTTGCAAACATTTACTCGACTGCAACTCGGTGAAAGATAATATCGAGTTTTAAAAAGTCTTCGTATTCGGAATAAATTATTCATTTTCTCGTTATTCCTCTTTATGATTTAGTATCCTGTGCCAATATTGCCAGAAATCTTTTCAAAATTACACCGTGTCTTGACGATCGATCGTATATCATTTCAGGAAATCCCATTTTATCAAATTCCACGTTATTAATTTCCAAAGCTCGAGATTCTTTTATCGAAATTTTTTGGAAACACTGGACTTCAAGAATTCACGAAAATATTCGTTTTCGTAATTCAAGATCGTCCACTGATGTTTCGAAAAATTATTTCACGAATATCTACGCGATATAATATAACATTATATATATTACATATTATTTATAAATTATTATTTATTATATATTATTTATATTATTTATATTATTATATATAATATAGCTCGTCGTCCGTGTATTCGGTTTAGCTCTTCGCTGAATTGCGAAAATGGCGAGAATAAATAGAAGAAAGGAATAGACAATGACGAAGAAGAGGAAGTTGTACGGATCGAACGTGTCTCACCTCGGTCGCCACAGTTGCATAAGGGACGATGCTGTAATTAAACTCCCATCCATGTTGGCAAGCTTTCGTCGGCCACAATGGGTCCGGCACGTGGCTTCCATTTAGCAGGATCTCCGTGTAATTTACATCGTACATGCTGCATTTCGAGTAACCTTCGCGGTCTACGGGTATGGCCAGCGAGAGCCTGAAACGAGCAGAAGAGAGTGTAGACTGGTTCTGTAGACTGGTCCAGGATCTTCGATGCTGATGGACATCCTGACAGATGGGTAATTAACAATGTTTTTGAGATTCTATCGAAAGGTCGACGGATTAAAACTTTTTAAATGATTTTCCATCGACATAGTCGTCGATGAAACAAGATGATCCTTTAATCCATGGAACTATTGGATTTTAATAAACTACGATTTAATTATAAAAAGCTGTGCATCGTGAAGTTATTTAATTTCAATAAGCCAGTATATACCTATTTTATCCGCAATAAATTAGCAAATTTTTAGGATTTATTTAAAATTTGCGTATGTTATAATGGATTGAATATAATTCTAATCTAATACGAATGTAATTCATCTTTATGGGGTTTAACGTGAAAGATACGTGAGTTATCGTGGTATATGGGGTTAACGAAACGCGTTTCATTGGAATTTTATTGGCAGGAAAAATATTATTTTCTATAATAGCTATAAAAATTAATTCGTTAAATATATATTCGTTTTTAAGGCTTTTCCGTGTTTCTAAAATTTTTCACTCAATTTTCTATTAATTTTATTATTCTTTCTTTTCGTTATTGGAAAAGCCTTCGTGTGAATTCCTTGAGATAAACAATGGAACGATGAAAGGAAGTCGAATGATCGATGTTATGTTAATGAGATTATCGATTAATCGAAATTATAAATGAAAATTGCGAAGAAAAAAGTTTCTGCTAATCTATCTCGCTGAATCTAATTTAACCTAACAACGGAAGACGTATTGGAAGATAGTTCGTGGGTATATGGTTAATTTACATAGTCATATTGAATAGCCGCGAGAACTGGCTCGCGATCGTCAGCGAATTTCGAAATCACTTTATTAATAATTAACGTTATCAAGATAATTTGCTGACAGTAATTACGCATGTGTCTTCATTTTTAACGCTCTTTGTGTAGCAAAATAGGAAGTCGATGTCACGATGACTGACGCTGTATGAATCAAATTAACCCGAATCTCTTGTACTGTATCGAAACGATGTCTATATCATCGAAGAACGTCTCGATATTTATCCCGAAAAGTATCCCGAAAATTTATCTCCAGTTTTAATTATCTATTCGTTGCTCTATTATTTAGAAGTGAAGAGTAATTAACGAGTAGAATATCGGTGTATAATTATATAACAGATAAACATCGATAACCATAATAGACAATGAAGCTTCCATTAATTTTGTTACATAATCTACGATGTCATCCTCACCCATACGTGTCAATAGTTTCGGTCGTAACTATCGTCGAATAGTTTATCAGAAATAGAGAACTATCGATCGTTGAATCACCGTAACGAAGCTTTGGATTCCAGTCATTTTTCTATTGCAAGCAAGTGATAAAGCAAGTGATAAATAATTTCTTCGTGCTTTACCTACGAATATTACAGAATTTTTGAGAATGTTTCTTGAACGTTATTAAGTTTTATCGTCTTCGCTAAATAGTCCATCGTAGTTACGGCTTACCGCCATTTAAATTTGTGCCACGCAACCAAAATGGCGCCCAATTTTCAGACATACTAAAGATTTAAACGCATCGTATCGAATAGAACGTGATCGCGGAATTTCTCTCTGGAAAATCGACTGTACATTCAATGGATACCACTGTCAAGAAAGGTATTCACGATATTAATGTCATTCACGTGTAATCATACCTCATAGCAATATGATTAATCACCAGCGTCGGCTGACCTTTGAGTGAAAAGTGAACGAACGAAAACGTCGATTACATTATGCAAACATACGCTACATTTTTCAACCTGAATTCGCTGGTAAGAGAATTTCTAACTCGAGATGATGAGCAGAATAAATGTCGCAACGAAGAAAATTAATGTCATCGTTATTTATTGAAAGATATTATTCGCTACTGCTTTAACTCTGGTCATTTTTTATTGCAACAACCGAAAACTGTCTAATAAATTTAATTTATTTATCCACGTAATTTCTTCGTCCATGATAATTAAATACCGCTAAAATGATTACTGATACCCTCTTGGACCCCGATATCCAAGAATTTAAGTCGTAACTTTTAATTCTTTATTACTCGATAAATCGTTCCAAATGGAGACTAACGAATGTCTCTTGGATGGGAGAGAAATAAAAGAATGAAGAAATAAAAATATAACTTGACATGGGTTACTCGCGTTACATTTGTTCGTACGGTCAACAGTGGCGCGAAAGTTTAAACGAGAGCAAGCAAGCCGTTAGCGCGCGTCCAGTTTCATTGAAATTTTAATTGCATCATCGGAGTACGTTCCATCGTCGACGCTTTGACATAATTGTCACCGGTGCGAATGCCTTTGCGCGAAAGTCTCCACGGTGCTCGTCGGGCGAGCAATCAACGATATCGCGCCGAATGTTACGTGCTCTGGCGCCATTTTTTCGAGTTCACGCTCTCATTGTTTCGCGCGAAGGTTCAACGCGTTCGCGGATACGATAAATAAGAATTTTTATTCAGAGGGGGTTACTATGCGAGCATCGTTGCAACACAGCATCCTTAGGCTCTTGGGAAACGTCTTAATAACGAATCGTGATGCAATAGGAACATTTATGCACGTCGGATGGAAAAGTTATCGTTTCTAGACGTTCACTTGAACACCACCGAAGGTTAATTTGGCAAGTCTATCCAGGTATTGTGTTTCAGGAGATTGCCAAATGTAATTTCTACGCATTGTCTGGCAGACAATGATGCACTTTTCGTTATTGGGAAAGATCAAGATCGCTGTAGTTTTATGATCGTAATGTAATATAAAATTGGAAAAATTGAAATTAAATTTCGAACTTTACTTGGTACTATGATCATTGTCAATTAATGACTTTGCTTTTGCAAAATTGCTGTCCTATTGTTTCAGACGTGGAGCAATTTTTACCCCCTCTCATAACTTAAGTACACTTAAGTTTACTTCGGGTGATCCTAGCTTTATCCACTTTCCTAATTTTTCCTAATTTTATTCGTAATATACGAAATATATAGTTATGATTGTAATATTGAGTTGGTAAAAGATAATAAAATCATTTTTAATATAAAATTGTAACACTACTTATTGACCACCCTGATACATAGGGTGAGTCACGACTTATCTACTATTCCTTTAAATATTGACACAAAGTAAGTACACAATCTTTTAAAGAAATTGAAATTCAACTTAATATCTCACAAAGAAATACATTATATCAAAAAGTATATAAAAAATTATATGGTTTTTAGCAACCGTTTTGAAGATATTATAAAAATTCTTTTTACTCGATTGATATATGTAAAGTGCTTCATTGGATAAATCTTTCAGCACGTTAAGCAGATTCTTCAAGCATTTTGTTTATTCTTCCCGTGTAACCTTCGCGGATTATTTTTCATAGACCTTTTTAAAACATTTTTATCAACGGAATTTTTTTTTTTAAACTCATAGCACTTTACTCAAACCATACAGTACATCCTTTTCACATACTTCGTATTCTACGTTTTTTCCAAGTCACTAGGAAACTCCAACTTTCCAAAACCTACGAAATTCTAGTCTTAATCATATGAAACAATGATTGAAAGACACACAAAGGAACATAACTTTCGAATCGCTCTACGTTTCAGCTAAGTCAGGCATACAATTTTAATTTTAAGTATTTAATCAACTTGATAATTTTCCTAAATATATTATATTCTTGATATACTATACTATTATCTTCATCGTAAATCCAATTCGTGCATTTATTTCTATTTTCTTTACGTATTTATCAAATACAGAACATGAGAAGATCCCTCTGATCATCATCCATTCTACAAAGTCTCCGAATCCTTAATATGAACCAAAAATCCACTCTTCCCTGACCCAAAGTTCTCACCCTTCCTCGCTTTCGATGAAACAGAACCTGATATCTGCAAATACCAAACCTGAGCCATTCTAAACGAATGAATTTCGAACGAATTTCTCGTATCTTTTCATTTCGAGACTCGTCTTACGAAGAATCTTCTAATTTAGAATAATCTTCTTTAGAATAATTAGAATAATCTTCTAATCACCAGTAGCAATTCACACGGGGAGGAGAAGCTGACGTCAAGAAAGAATCGCGAGACGAACGGCAAGTTTGCAGGGAAATGAACACACTGCGAGGAACAAGATCCTCTTGTTTCATCATTCGTGTATGATAACTGATAAAGCAACAGCTTCCATTATGCAACGGATCATTTTCTAACGGGGCGGGAAGGGAAAACACGCAGACAGAAATAAAACGAGGTGCTTGTCTCACCAGTAACACACGTTCACCAGTTGGAACATATTTTATTGAGACTTTTACGACCTGCTACCGACTGCCCCAGCCGCTGCATTATTTGAATAACACCGCAGGTTGTTAACCTACTCGCGACTCCGTTCATAACCAAACAAAGGTGCAATCCAGTTACACCTTGGGAAACGTTTCGCAATCGGACATTTCCACGTGTTTTCCTTCCCCGCTGACACATTTGTGCCGTCGTCTTTTGCGTCGATATTGTCCCGGTTCGCAGTCGCAGCGATCGCGATAGCCATGGTGTTTCGTCAGGATCGAAGTCGTCGAAATCGGAGAACGATTGAGAAATCGCTCGCGTGCTACGGTGAAGGAGTTAAGTTTCGATTTGGATAGTTCTTATAGTTCCTTTGCTGTTACTTCGACGGCTGAAAGTTCAATAGGTAGGGATTTGAAAGTTTGGTTTCATTCTAGGGCTATCGTGCATGCTATATCAGCAAGTTTCCATCCTTTTGCTATTGCTATATTGTATTCGAATTGTATATATAAACGTATCTTTCAACTCGGATGAATCTTGACGTTGATTTCTATCGAGATGAACCGATTATAATGTATAATCGTACTTGTCTGTGTATATTTATGTACTATGTGACAGTGCACTAATTTAGCCGAAAAATGATTTCGATATTCTTAATGTAAAATAGCAATTAATTTTTCTTTTCTCGTACAGGAACAGTTCGAACGATTAATTTCTCATCGAGCAGTGTCCAAAGATATTTTTCATTATTTTCAAAACCAATTTAATTCCGCTTTGTCGGATGTACCGTGGAAATATAAAGAGCGAATAATCAGTCCTCTAAACGATGCTCGAAGGCTGAGATAATTGACTCCATACACGGTGAGCTAATGACGAATTACAAGGAAATATAGCAGAATATATTCCATCGTACTTACAGACGTTCGAATTTCTCAATGAATGCGACTTCACGTTATCAGAACAAAAAGTAGCCGCCGTGTATAATTTTAGTAGCAACTGGTCGATACGTTCATTCAGAAAGCAGTCATCGAGATTATCGAGATCATCGAGACGCTTGTACGCGTGATGATCTATCCTTGAATTACAAAAAGGTATTAAGTATCGATGATAACTATTCATGGCATTTTTTACCGATCAATGCGATCGAACACGTGTACTCGAAGAGCATGCAATCTTGTTGCTTTTTTCGTCAGTATCGTCTACGTCGAATCGACGACATTTACGTTTCTTCTCTGCCCCTATTTCTATATTTATTTCCTATAACATAGACTAACGAGTAACAAGTTCTCACAGCTTACTAGTTCCCCATTTTGCAATAAATGCATCTACCCCTGAACTTCAAAGTGCAGTCTACGCGTACTCTGGTTCAGAATCTATAATTAATTTATAATATTGAACTATTCAATATTTCCTATATTTATACGTTTAAGGACTCCTGTTAAACATTTTTGTTCTCCTGTTAATTGTACTGTACATACTTAAAGACTTTAATAACCGTATATCACAAAGAAAAGAAAAATTCGTCCTATTCTCGGACCAATCCATAGATCCATAGATCGTATTTGTATTAGAATATTGATCTCGCGAAATGTTTCGAACAAATTGTTCTTTATCTTCGAATGAAAATCAAAAACAAAAAGAGATTGTCTAGAATTATAAAAACGTTTATTTTGTATAAAGATTAAGCAAACACCGTATGAAACACGACACAGAAGACTGATTCATCGTTTTCCACGCGATTCCGTGGGATCGAAGTAACAAGGTCCCCGTTGTTCTGTAATTATTGCTTACAAACAATGGAACGATTCTGGCACAAGTGGCATATAAACGTTTGTGACAAGTACCAACATTGTTATCTAACAAAATTATCACACCTCGTAAATGAAAGGTGCCTATCGGAGCTGTATCAGAGAGACGATCGTAAAAGAAAGTCTCGAATCGAATTTTGCAAAAAAATTATGTAAAAAAGATCATTGAATCTAATTTTTGATTCATTAAAGAGAATTCTACGATTGATCGATGAATTTAGGAGAATCTTCTCAGTCATGTCTACGCTTGTGAATGATAAAATATTTTAGGAAATAATTCGAGATCTTCAGCGTTTATTTATTTATGTGAACGATATCGATATCGAAGCAAAGAAAATGGAACGATAGATCAATCTTCGCGATTACCATCTCGATTTTTATCTACGATATTTATCTCCAATGAAAAGTTATCGAATCATCGAACAAATAATTTGGGCCAATCGAGGCACATATTTTAAAGCTTCCGTGATGATAAATGTCTTTCATCGATCTATATATACAGGACTATCGATCAACAATTTAGAATCTTTCTTGCGATTATATCTACATCGAGTTTCCTACTAATTCTGGTATTAATTTTAAATTGGTACAGGTACCACCATCGATTACTTTCATCTCAACAGGTTCTATAACCAAAGAGTCTTCTCAAGTAACGAAATTCTAGCCGACTACCTTTTAAGATCTTTAAGTCCTGTGAGACACGTCGTAATCGATAGTATATTATTTACACTTTTAATCAATTGACAACCAATGAACCACTTTTCTTACTTTTGATACCTCGACTTATCTGTTATCTATTAAAGCCTGGTGCAACAATAACGTTAGATAAGACCTAACTTGAAGCTAAACGAACTCTTATCTCAGATTTTAATCCCATCCTTCAGTTCCATCCGATCTTGAGTAGAAATGAAATATTTCACGCACCTTTCGCCGACTGTAAGGTTCTCCAGTTCCGGTACCCGGCACCAGTACTCATCCGGTATCAGGGTGATGAAGATCTGCGAGAAGTAAACCCACGCGACGAACGAAGCGAAAGGGATCATCAGAACGAACAATATCTTCTGATAAAGGCCAAATTCCCCGACATAGGGTAACAAATCGTCGAAATCCACATCTTTCGTTTCCTCTTTGACGCTTCTCCTATCAGCCTCTGGAACTCGGAGGTTCATCGAGTTCTGGCAATTCGCCACGCTGCTATCTCGATCGTCATTCAGGTGCACAGGCGTTTCGAACTTTTCCTGGGGTGGCATCTTCTCGATTATCGTATCTCCAATGAAAACAATCGTCACTTAAACTCGATCACCTATTCCTCATCGAATTCACCAGGTCGTCTCGTGATTCGTGCAAGAGGATCGAAAAATTAAAACTGCTTAGGTTCCCAAATGCATAGCCTCGTATGTTTCTTGGCGTTTATGACTCGTTTAAACTTATTAAAGAGTCGATTGTTTGAACTGCGATTTTCACAGGCGCGAATCGGTCACGTGGTCTCTGCTTACTGTCGACATCGCGCGAATCCGTTACAAAATCCTAAAAACCGCGACAAAGTTAGGTTAGTCAGGCTAATCCTAGTCGTAAAGAGGAAGGTGAAAAAAAAAGTGGACAAATCCTGACCGAAGAGTTCAGAACTGAAACGATCAGTCCTGTAGCTGGCTATATAGCCACCGACCGAGTGGTACTCCCTCTCTTTTCCATGTGCAAGCAGAATTCAATGCTCTGCAAGTAGCATTGAACAGAGCGGGGATCGCGTAAATCATCCTCGTCGTTGGTCTTCGACTAATTTCTTTCGCACTCTCCCAGAAAGCGGTCGTAACGATGATTGAAACACAGGCTTGCTTCATTTTTTCGTTTCACCAGACGCATTCCATTAATTGTCAGGAATCAAGGAGACAACTGGATAAAACTGGAAGGTTCAGGGGTACGTTTAATGACACGTATCAATTAGTAACGAATGGATATTAAGATCACAAGGAAAGAACATGTTAGGTTATACCATTATTATAGAGGGATAATTCTTGAATTTACCTTATTTTAAATCTTGAATCAAAACTTGAATCATCATCCTTAATTTTGGGGTTAAATATATGTTTTTGTCACCCTCTGCGATATTTAGGAAATATCCATTGTCATAGTATTAATTACGAATTTTTTAAATTAATCGCCTGATTTCAGAAGACTTTATCTTTGTTTTTAACAGATTATCTTTCGGATATCAAAACAAATAACATCGTAGTTAAAAAGTCAATAAACATGATCTTGTCATGTCTTTACCATACAATATTTATATGGAAAAGTTTAAGCAGCTTGAAAATATATCTTTAACCAGTTATAATCTTATTAAAATGCAGATCTTTCTTGATTAAATTTTGTATCAGAGATATCGCTGATGAAAGAGGTTACGTAACTTCTAAGTATTCAAAATCGTCCTTCTCGTAACAAGTTCTCGCGTTTATCTTCCGATGGCTGCGATTTTAATAAAGAAAAGGTAAATAACCGACTGACTCACACGATTCGCACGATTATATACATCTAAAGTGACGCTTTTTTGTTTGTAAAAGACATGGTCTTACGCCCATTGACGTTGATTCTTTTTCTTCAACGCTGTTTTCCTTTCCTGCTGTTTTATGCATTATAGAAATAAAAATGGTTCGTACAAGTGTGACACCCGCGTGATGCGCTTTTGTCGCTTCTACAACCAGTATTATCAGCCTAAGACTACGAAATTGATGTTGGTTTATTTAATGAAATCCGTTAGATTAAGAAAGCGTTCCTAAAAGCGAGGGTAGATGAGAAATTTCTGATAAAAATAATTGAAAAACAGTAAACGTGTTAGATGCAAAATACTACGGAAATATTATTTCCAAATAAGTTAACTAACTAGATCAAACTAAATTTATATAAAATGGTCATTTTCACATATTATTACATATATGTACATAATCATTAATAATCGATATATCAGTAAACAATGAATTAACTAGAAGTAAACATATTTTAAATTAAAGGATAACAGACATTTACAATACTTTTCAGTTACAAAATCATATATGTATAAACATGATAAAAGCGTGTCGTTATTATAACGGCACTCGAGCTTGAAAATAAATTTCGAATGCCGTCATAGTGTCGATATTTGTATGAAAAAGGATAGTAATAATTATTGTTATTGCGCATTAGACATAATAAGAATAATTTATTTGAATATTATACAGGGTGTTTCATTTAAGTTGATCAATTAAAATACATATTTTTGTTATCAGTAATAATACTAACAAAATAATATGGAAATGAAATTGTTTAATAACAAAAAAGTTTCCAAAATCATTTTTTTTTTCTTTTTCTTTTCAACGAAACTTCAAGGTCACTGATATTCTTTTTAATATGATGGTATATTTTAATGAAAAATAAAAAATTATTAATAAAGATTTATTCGAGTATAGTTTTATTAAAAAAAACTTACGAAAAGTATTACATAGCCTCAAAGTATCGCTCAATATGAAAACTTTAACTTTTCTCACAAATTCATTAAAGTATGATTAGTGTATATAAAATTTATATCAATATAGCACCCAGTAAAGAATTACTATAACACAGAAATAATATATTTTTGCATAATTGTTATTAGAGTACATTTGTTTCTGTTCTAATTTAAAAAATTTATTGTATTGACTGTTATTAATAATTAAAATTTCTTTTTTAGGTGACACATAATAAAAAAGTACAGTAAGAAACGCGAAGACATGTATCACTTCAATTATTTGATATAATCTAACAATTTGATGTCATCCGAAGTATTACATACATGATAAATTATCGGACAAAATACATGTTTTATTAATATAATAACACGTAATAAACAAACCTAACATTTTTTTATGTACACTATTATTAATACCCATGACATGGATATAAAGATAATAAATCAAACAAATCTCTCCTACAACTCCAGGAACTTAGTTCTATTCTGTTATCGATATTTTGATTATTCACAGTAAAATTTTTTACATCAACATTCATAGCAGTGTCAGAAAAAGGTTTACTCATGAATAGGATCTTTTAAAATATTTAGATGTGAATATTACCTGATTATACTTAAAAACGAAAACAGATGGTTAAAATCGACCTTAAACTATGCAGTGCTTTCAAGCTCCTTGTGTAGAAAAGTTTCAATATCCACTCGACATATAGGACAGCGTTTATTAGTACATAACCACTGATCGACACAGTCTATGTGAAATAAATGCATACATGGAAGCCTCCTATATAAAAATGTTATAAAGATATCATTAATATAAAATAATTATTGAATATGATAATTGAATATAATAATATTATAACAAATTATGATTGTATATCAAAATTAATTTGTACCTGACACTTTCACAGTCTTCAAATTCAGATAAACATATAGTACATTTTTCAACAGCATCTTCACTATTTTCGACTTTTTTCTCCTATAAAACAATAAAATATTAAGTTGAAGTAAGTATAATACGATTGTGAACATATGCATAAATGTAATTCATTACCCGTTTGTACTTGTGGCGGAATGTATGACTTTCAATTGACTCCTGTGTTGCTCCACAACTAATATGAGCCATGCGTCGTAGATCTACAAGACGCATATAATTTTGAAGTTGCGCCGACACATGAAACGTTGGATGTAACAAACCCAAAGATGAAAATGGCATCATATCGTGACCACCAGATCCTTGCTGTATGAAACAGATGTATACATTGCATATACAAAAGTTTATACGATTGAAAGCATTGTATTCAAATGCGTACCAAATGAACATGTCGTAACCAATTGATATGGATGTGGTGTCTATGTTGCGGGCCGGGTGGTCTTCGATGGGGACCATAATGATGATACATATGATGTACATAAGGATGAACTGGCGTTGAAGGCAGCATAACTGGCGGTGCTGGTTCCATTTCTACACCACTCAAAGGATTTTCCTGAATATATAAAAGAATATAAGATTACATAAATATTCAATATTCCTCCCAAAAAAGACGTCAGAAAGAAAATAGAAATTCATGTAACACTCAAATTATATAATTCTATTTTTCCATGTGTTACCATCACAGATTGTGCAGGATAAGGCGGGCTAACACTTGGTGGCCTTCTAGCCTCTGGATGACTATAAACAGTAGGTTGTTGTGGTGGTGGTAAAATTGGAGATGGAAAATAGTTTTCTACAAACGTCATATTTTCCGAACCGTTACAACGGTTATTCACAGGATCAGCATTTCCATTATTACACATATGTTGAGTTGCTTGATGCATATGTGGATTGCACGAAATCGTACTACTAAACATAAAAATTAATGTACGTCGTAAAATTTCAAATATTTATCATAATACTAACGGGTGATTAATAGAGACTCTTCGATGCAGACTCCGCCTATATATTTCCTGTACACGTTGTTGCATCCTCCATAGTCTTTCATGCATAGGATGCATACGCGATCTTGACATTCCTGGAGAAGCATCTACAGAAAAAAAGAGAAAAAGACTTGAAAATAACGTCATTAAAAATAATATTGGTTATTCTTCTTTTTTATCTTTTTATCATATTTTTACCTGGTATTTGGCTATATCTTACAGGGATTACAGGAATTGGAATTCTACAATTATGATGCATACATCCATGATACATATAATTTGGTGGACCATGCATGCAGTAAGCATTGTTCCCACTATAAAATAATTATTAAAATCAACATATAATGTGTTATATATACAAAAAGAATTTGTTAGTCATACCTATGTACATAATCCGTTGTCCCCGGATTTACTTCCGAAGTTGTTGGAGTAGGTGGAGTGTGTTCTTCATCTGACTCCACAGTTAAATCAACTACAGTGACTGAACGATTACTTTCCTCATTATTTTGCACAGAATTCTGCTATTAAAATATATTACATCTTATATTTTAAGCTTTCAATATAAATTCTCATGTTAAAGTACACATCATGATTAAACTAGTTCACCTTATTATTATGATTTACTGAAACAAGAACTTCAACTGAGCCATCTTTATCATCACTACTTGTAGTGATACTACTAGTATCGCTACTTGTAGTGATACTACTAGTAGTATCATCGCTACATGAGGACCAGTCTAATTGTAGATCAGGTGCTGATGGTGTATCATCATTTCCTATCCAATATAAAGTTAAACTGTAGGATATCTATTTATTATTTTTTATTCATTTACTAATGTGAAAAAATATTATACTTGTATGTGTAGAATGCTGCTGAGAAGTAATTGTATTTGGCAAAACTGAATGGTACAAAGTATTGACTTCATTGGCAGTGTCATTTTCAATATTTTGCATAACTCTGTTTAAGATATTTCCATCATTAATTGTTGATCTAATCGTGCTGGAAGTAAAAGTAGCAAACAAACTCAAAAGTTACTAAGAAAAATTTTATTATGAGCTGGTACCTGTTGGGAATTCCATCTGATAATCTAGATGGTCCAGCTACACCCAAATTATCAGGCTGTTGATCATTCAATAATTTACGTTCTTCACTTCTTTTACTTTTATGTTTTACTGGAGGATCACGCCCATGTAAAATTCCCCCTGCTGTTTCAGGTCCACGTAAATAAGTTCCAAAAACAAAATTATTGTTTGAACCAGAATGATGAGATGGATTTACATAAGGATTAATAGGTACCACATCTAAATCTTCTACATCACTTTCTGCAAATAAATGGTCATATTCCATTTCGTTGGCTAGAATGAAAAAATTAAATATTAAAATTATTCTTAATCTTTTTATATAAACATTTTCTTTACTAAACATGTAACATAATAAAATTAGTGAACTGTTTTGCCTAAAAGTAACTGTTATACTTAATATCAGCATATTAAATACAAAAAAAAAAGAAAAACTATAATACATATGTTATGTTATTATTTCAGCTATACCTGAATTAAATCTAGGTTGTGGAGAAGGATCAACTGTAGATGTAAATGCTGTATCAAATATGTCTGCTAAGGAAGTAGAATTTGCTTCCATAGATTGAGTTATAGATTCTGAATGATACAAACTATTTTGTTCGTCAGCTTTAGTTTTGCACCAAACATTTTGAGAACTCGTACTCTCTTCCATCCTGTTTGATAAATTTAAATATTGCATCATTTATGCAGATTATCATTAAAAAAATATTATTACAGAATTTTAAATAATATACTCATTATTTTTATTACGTTTATTTATATTAAAAATATTTTAAAGTTTATTTTCTTCTGGCATATAATTGATTATAAAATATAAAGTATAATTTTAACTATGATATAATTAAATTAAATAAAATACTACATAAATTACAAAATTGTATACTCTAATAAAGAATATATACATAATTTTTTTTATTCCTAATGACAGATCTTTCTTTTACCTTTATAAAAAGGTACATTCTAAACAGTATTAGCCTTCAATATAAGAAAATTTATTTAGTGACATGTAACTCATAATAATATATATAATAAGGATTATTCCGTATTATGTAGGGGCAATGTAATTAAAATAACTTTTTAACATTAAGAAGTAATTTTCAAGAATTATGTTGGAAATTATATTTGAAACATTCGGCATTTCAAAGAAATTTTACTATTTTTTTTCATAGGTGCTTTAAATGATATCAAAACGGAGTAGTACAAACTATGAAAGAGTTTTTTTTGTGTACCTTATAATTCCTTCAACGGTTTTGTAAAACGATAAGGCTCACTTCACCACGTCATTTTTATCAAGATATTTATTTTCTATACATCACTGTCATTTATGTCGTTCTACCTATGCGCATCAATATTAACTTCGTAATCAGATCACTTCGAATTTTAATAAACTGTTCAATCCATATGAAAATTTGTGTATAATTAAATTCTTATGTCAGTAATAACAATAAAATCGAAAAAGGATTTACGTAGACTTTCTTTCGATAATCTACATTTGGCAACTATGATACCATCAATCGTAACTTTCATTAACTACGCTCAATTTTAGCTGGCCTCCGTTGATTATGCAGCTTGCTACCTTTCCTTATTATAAAACTACTATTACGTTTGTTACTAATTATTGCAACATAAATTTCTTATTTATACATATAATACTAATTTTTTTTCTACTTTATTTATTTCATTATCCTATCGTATTATTTTAATTTCCTTATTGACTATTTTTATTTAAAATAAATGGATTTGGTGACGGATTCTAGTATATATTTTAAAGACGTAAATAGGGATAAAAATAATTTCTCTATATTTTTACCTGTGAGCGGAATAACCTGTAAAACTAGTGAAATTGGCGTAATAATTCCTAGATCTTAGAAATTTAGATGCTGAATTAGGTTTTACATTAAATTACAATGAAGTAGCAAAATGAATTTCATAATTTTCTCAGTTTTTTTAAATATTTCATATTTCATAAAATTTATAAAATTTAACTGTATATTAGTATATCGTAAACTTTAGTTTTACACAGAAATTTTTTCATTGTTTAATGTGAATTATGATTTTTATATCATAATAATCATTTCAATATAGTTAAAAACTCGTATAAAATCATGCTTACAATACAATTTTAGTATTAAAAAATTAAATTGACAAAAATACATTATAAAATAATGGACCAATCAGTTCGATGTTCAATATTCCTGTCATTTGACAAGTTCATAACGAATCTGGAGTATTAGAGTACATGCGTACACTTTGTCCGTATATTTTCTTTCGAACTTGACCTCGCTAGTACATCAAAGGTAGTCCTCTTAATGGTAATTCTCTAATAATTCAATTTCGTTTATTGACTATTTTGAGAGAAACAGCATTGAAAGATGGCTGTGGCTGTCAGAACTTTTTCAAAATTTACAGGTAAGACAAAATAATTTTTCAATGTCAAAAAAGACTTTTGTATATTTCGAAATAGTTGTTTCAGGTTTATGATATATTGTAAGATTTCACGCCCGTTTTTTTTTGTTTCATGGGTCACTCCCTTGTTTTTTAAAATTGAAAATATCTTTGACATTTCTCGTTTATGTTAATATTTCTATTATGTGAAAACTCATGATTATTCATAATTTAATTTTTCTACCAAAATGCTTTTTCTTATTAAACTGATTACATTAGTTTCATCCAATTCTAACTATTAATGAAGCATTATGTAATTCTATATTAAATTTTTGACTATTTCATATATATTTATAAAGTACATTTTAGAGTACATTTTAAAATTATATTTTATATAATTTATTTTATAGTTTAGTCTATTAATATTATTTCATGCAATTATCAAACATAATGTTTGCATATTCATTTCAACATATCAGTTAATATTGTAGTGTATAGTATGTGTAAATGTCATAGTACATATCATACTAATCATTTAAATTTATTGGATGATATTTAGTCAATGAACCTTGACCCAAAAGTTAAGAAATTTGATATTGTTTCTATAAATAACATCTGTTTTAAGACAATGGTCATTTAAAATCTCCCCATATCATAAAATAATATATATTTTATTATTATGACATTTATTACTATATGAATTATAATATATAATGAAACAAAATAAATTATTAGAATTTATGTTCTTTCTTTGTTCTATAAAAATCTTTTATTAAAGGGACATTTTAATAAAATAAATCATTTTTTTTATGTTTCAGTGAAAAATTGTAGTAATTTATTACGTACCCAAATAAGATTCAACTATATAGATACTAGAAAAAATTTAAAAATTGACTCTAACACCAAAGTTATATGTCAAGGTTTTACTGGTAAACAGGGGACATTTCATTCTAAACAGGCCATTGAATATGGTACTAAAATAGTAGGTGGTATTAGCCCTAAGAAGGCTGGAACAGAACATCTTGGAAAACCAGTCTATAAGACTGTAAAAGAGGTTAGCAAATGATTTTATAATTTTATATTTTCTATAAAAAATTTACATATTAATTGCGTTTTTATCTTAGGCAAAAGAAGCTACCGGTGCTACTGCAACTGTTATTTATGTTCCTCCTCCATCTGCAGCAGCAGCTATTATGGAGGCAATAGATGCTGAAATGCCATTAATTGTATGTATTACAGAAGGTATTCCACAACATGACATGGTCAAAGTTAAAAGACGACTTTTGGAGCAAGACAAATCTCGTTTAATTGGCCCAAATTGCCCAGGAATAATAGCTCCAGAACAGGTACACATATTTAATATTTATTAATATTTCAAAATTTGTTTTAAATTCGTTATTACATTATATATAAATTTATAACTTAATATGTATAACTATGTTAAATGTGCATATATTGTAATGTATTTTATATCATGTTACTATTTCAGTGTAAAATAGGTATTATGCCAGGACACATACATCAAAAAGGAAAAGTTGGTATTGTATCAAGATCAGGAACATTAACATATGAGGCTGTGAATCAAACAACCCTTGTAAGTGATTTTTTTTTTATTAAGATTTTTTTTTCTTTCACTTTAAATGGAATGAAAAATAATATTTCTTTTTTAATAATTTTCTAATAAAAATTCATTGAAGAATTTTATTTTAAGGTTGGTCTTGGACAAACACTTTGTGTTGGAATTGGTGGTGATCCATTTAATGGAACAGACTTCATTGATTGCTTAGATGTATTTCTCAGGGATCCAAATTGCGATGGTATTATAATGATTGGTGAAATTGGTGGTAGTGCAGAGGAATCAGCAGCGGAATACCTCATTGAAAATAATACTGTTGGTTGTTCGTCTAAGTTATTGGTACCCAAGTTCCATCCCAACCAAATTCCACTGTCCTTTATATTTTACAAAACACTATATATTCTTATAAATATAAGTCATTTTAATATAATCACATACAAATGTAATATATGTTTGCCATAATTGTAGGGGAGTAAAGCAAAGCCAGTAGTATCATTTATTGCTGGTATTACTGCCCCACCTGGTCGAAGAATGGGACATGCTGGAGCAATCATTTCAGGAGGAAAAGGAGGTGCTCAAGATAAAATCAATGCACTTGAGAAGGTTATTAATTTTTTATTTACTATAGAATTATATTTTTTACTTTAGTCCCGAAACATTTATGTTAAGTACAAATATTCTATTTTATTTATTAGGCTGGTGTAATAGTTTCAAGGAGTCCAGCACAATTGGGAAATGAACTCTTAAAAGAAATGACACGTCTTGGCTTGGTCTGTAATTAAGTACACATGCCACTATAAATATACATATGTAGTTTGCCTCATATGGATGTATCTTCGTACAATAAATTGAAAGTATAAACAATGCTAGGGCCGTTTAAGAAACAAAACGATATAATGCATTGAAAATGTGCGAATTTATTAAATCATTGGTTAAACAATGATTATGTTCGTCGGCATGCGAAGTTGTTCGTCTATTTTATTCGTAAAGAGAAAATTTGCAAAGAAACAAGAACATTTGTTGGGGAACTAAATTTAGTTTAACATTGTACAGTATTTAAAAAATGTTTTTACTGGTATAGCTTTTATTTTAACAATTAGCAGCTATCCAAAGATAATATAGAAAATATTTAACAATAACTGCCACTATACTTCGTTACCATTTTTTTTAACCAGAAATTATAAATTTTTCTATGCTATTACACCATAATTTTAAGAAAGAGTTATTTAAGTAATTCTTACTATATTGTTGTAAATTATACTAAAGCTATATCTGTTATAACAAATAATTAAAGCTGTTATATACCCTTATTGTAAAACATTGAAAACTTAAATATATTAAATGATATCGATTAACCTTTTAAGTTCCTTACTTGTTATAAGTAAAAAATAAAAACATTTGTCTTGAAAAATTGTTTAAACTTATTGTTATGGTGAAAATCCCATTATTTGATCTATGAGCTTAGCGATATGTTTACTTCTCTCATAAACTAAAGGTTTCAGTTCAGCAAAATTCATAATTTGTATAGTATTTAACAAAGTTCTGCAGGTACAGTAATATAAATGTTTATCGTTGTAGAGCTGTTCAGCTAGTTCTAATTGATGATTATCCATCAAATTTTCATTTGTAACTACAATCAAATTTTTTTTATTTTCCAAAGCATCCAGAATACTTCCTGCACCTGCATGACTTATGATAAGATCAGTAGTTTCTATATATTCAATTATATTTCTACTTAAATTAAAATATTCTATATTAATAAAACCACAACGTGGAGTACAATCTGGTATGAATAATGTTCTGCCAATTTGCAGAGTAATGTCATTATATCCTTTTGATGATAATTCCTAAAATAATTAATTATGAACTAATATGTATCTAAAATATTACACTTTGCATTAAAAAACTGAATATTATAAGCAAAAAGAGCTATAAAGTATCATATTTCTGTTACCTTTAAAACTTCTGAACTAAGTACTGTATCGATTAATTCATCAAATTTGGTAGTGCCAACAGTAACAAATACTTTTTTTTTTATTAGTGACATTTTAAATATTTAGAAATATTACAAACCTTAACACTAATTGTAAAACAAATTCTAACGATAAGATAAAGAAAAAACTTTATACTGATTGTTGTTTATATAACAATACGATGTTATATACAAGAAAATTAATAAGAAATACTCAATAATTTTGATGAACTGTCACTTCGTTGATCTTTTCGTGTAATATAAAGTAAAACTATACTTGACTAAACAGTGTTATGACGTCAGACAATTCCATGTTTCTGTCACGTTATTTTGTTTATTACGTTGATTTTAATAAAGTATGCCATCTAAAATAAAAAATAACATTCTAACATACGAAGGTTGTAATTATTTACGATATCGCTTATTATTATCAACATTATCAGGCAAGCCTGTACGAATTACAAATATTAGAATTAAAGATGATGATCCTGGACTTAAAGGTTAGTTAAAACATGTTTATTTTTGAAAAGTATTCAAATAAAATTATAATATTAATAAAAAATATTTACATAATATTTTTTTCATTAGAGTACGAAGTTAGTTTTATTCGTTTACTGGATAAAATTACAAATGGATCGAGAATAGAATTAAATGAAACAGGAACTAGTTTATACTATAGTCCCGGATTATTGAATGGTGGTGAATTAGAACACGATTGTAACGTACAACGAGGTATTGGTTATTATTTAGAAGGAATTGTGATATTAGCTCCATTTTGTAAAAAAGCTGTAGATATAAAACTTAAAGGAATTACTAATAACACAATAGGTATGTAATATTTTACAATATAACTTTGAAAGTAAAATATTAACAATTACAATTATATTTTAATTAACAATTAATTGCTATCATAATTATAAAAAGCTGGGAAATTAAAAAAAAATAATTAAAGTATATGATTTAATTTTTAAGATCCATCTGTGGATAGAATCAAAGCATCTGCTGTACCAATACTAAAAAGATTTTTGTCTGGTGATAATGAAATTGTCTTTACTATCAGCAAAAGAGGATCTGCACCTTTAGGTGGTGGAGAAATTAAGTTCAAATGTCCTGTTAGTCGTAATCTTCGAAGTATCCAAGTTAGTATAAAATACATTTGTTATACATTGAAATATTTATAATTAAGAAAAAAACATTATTAGCTTCAAGACAGTGGAATGGTAAAAAGAGTAAGAGGTACTGCATGTAGTATACGTGTATCACCTGCTATTGCTAATCGAATTGTGGAGTCAGCTAAAGGTATATTATTAAAGTTCTTGACAGATGTTTACATTTATACAGATCATTGTAAAGGTGCATCCAGTGGAAAGTCACCAGGTATATATCTAATATCATTCTATTTACATTTTTTCTTATATTATATTTATTATATTAAATATTTTAAATGCTGAAAATATATCAGGCTTTGGAGTAAGTTTATCAGCTGAAACAACCACTGAAGTTGTTTTTGGTGGAGAAGCATTTTCACCTCTAATGACAACAGATTCTTTACCTTGTGTACCAGAAGATATTGGTAAAGAAGCAGCTATGAAATTAATTGATGAAATTTATAGGTAAAGTAAATATGACTAAAGAGTATGCATAAAATAATAAACAATATTATATAAATTTATATGATTTTAGAAATGGTTGTATTGATTCACCTTTCCAAGCTATGACTGCAGTATTTATGGCATTGGGTAAGAAAGACGTTTCTAAAGTTGTAACAGGTCCTTTAACACCATCAATGTAAGCAGTTATTTTATACACATATGTATCCTAAAACGAAGAATTGATTAAGCTTATGCGTGATATTATTTTTACAGGATACAATTTTTACGCGATTTAAAAGACTTTTTTGGAATCGTCTTTAAAATTGAATCACTGAAAGAAGAGGATGAAATATTAGAGCAAGTTGCATTGACTTGTATAGGTGTAGGATATACTAATATAAGTAAACGAACGTTGTAAAATATTTTTATTACATGTACCAATTTTATAATCTAATAAATGGTAGTATATATTTTTATAATTCCTCAATTTATGTGTTAAGAAGAATTAAATATCTATAACACGAATGTCTGTAAGTGAATTGATTTAGTAGGCCAAGCATGAAAAGGTCCTAATTTTAAGGCATTCCATAGACTTTGATAACTTTTAGACCATTTTTTACAATCTATATAAGTAATTTTTTTAGGATGTCTTATATTACAATCAAAATGTTGATATTTTTCACAAGTTCGTAAAAACGTTTCAAAAAGTGCTCGTCTCGTTATAAGTAAATTGCTACCTTTTTTCTTTTTTGTAGTTCCTTGCTTTCTACCCTCAACTGCTACCTCAGTATTACTGTAAGTTAAAAATTATTAAACTTCTCTTACTTAATTCTAATATTAGTCGTAACTTATAAAATAGAGGAAGAAATACATATATATATAAGTACTAAACATTACCGATTTTTTACCGCACACCATATTATACTTGATGGACATGGATGTTTTCTTTCAGAATCCTTTTGTTGTTTAAAAGAATATTTACTTTGTACAATTTTTAATTTACACATTTTTTCATCAAATCGTTTATACAACCCTCGTTCCATTGCTTCCAAAGAAAAAGGAGAATTACCCCCAACTACAATAGTTTCCATTTTTATTGTAGGTATAAGTAATGATAAAAGTGATCCTTGTACTCCAAGTATATTCCACCTAAAATTATGAAAATATAATAATATTATAAAAATATAATGATAATATTATGAAAATTGTCATATTTCATAAAAGTAGTATATATTTATAGTATAGTATAGTATATATTTATTTACTTTGCCATTTTATCTGAACAAGACAGACTGAGAGTAGGATTTCCTCTGCCTGGTTTAGTACGAAGTGGCCCAACCACATGATAATTTACACCAGGCAAATGAGGATCTTGATATTTTTCAGATTTAAGACATTTTGCTCCAGTTCTGTATATATCGTCTATGTTTTGTTTTTTATTTTTACCAGTATTTAACTTTCTTATTTCTATTTTATTATTATAATCACATTTTTTTATTTTCATTGGAGGAGTATCATCTTCATAAAATTCTTTTTTCAAAAATATAGAACAATCTCCACAAGGTGTTTGACTTGTGAAAAAGTGAAATGATATTCCATCATTTAGTTTAATTTTTTTCTTATCATCTATTGTAAAGATATCACTTGTAGCACCATTGAGTAAAAAATCAATTTGTTCATATAAATATCTTAAAAATGCACGTCTAACAAGAACTTCTGCATGAGAATCACTTAATCTACAACCTACTTCGTATAAGTTTGTATTTATTAAATCTATTTTTCCCAAGCACTTTGTTCCTGTAGCAAGTGCTACTAAAAAGAGTGAATTATTCTTTTTTTTTAATACTATACTTGATAACACAGTCCATTCTTTGTTTGATGGTTTACCATTCTTACCAAGTTCATCATATTTTTCTAAACAAAGCTGTGCTATTTGATCTGGAAAATCCCTCATACTTTCAATTTTATTTGCTTTTAAATTTATTTAATTCACATTAGAAGGATTCCAAGCATATTTCTGTTGAGGTAGAGAAGATAAAGCATTCATACTGTTGTCATCAATCAAAAAGTCTAGTTGTATATTATCTTTTATGTGATCTTTATTTACTGCTTTGGGAATAATACCTGAAATAGTTTCATTAAATGATATGTACTAAAAGCTATAATTAAAAAATAAATTATTTACCAATTCCTTGCTGCAAAGCCCACTTTAATAATAATCTTGCTGGAGATACATTAAGTTGAGAAGCTATGTTTTCCACAATTGGGTCTCTTAAAAGATTCATACTACTACTAGTTCCTAAAGAAGAATATGCTTGTACATGAATTCCTTTTTCATTACAATACTTAATTAATTCTTCTTGACGGTAATGTGGATGCAATTCTACCTACAAGAGAGAAATGTATTTTAATTTTCTAATTAATATAAATTAAAATAAAAATTAAATGTGAATACAATTAACCTACTTGATTGACAGTTGGTGGTATATCTTTACAATTATGCAATAATTCTTCTAAATGTTTGATTGTATAATTGGATACACCTATTGATCTTATGAATCCTTTCTTCTTTAAATCTACTAACTTATACCAAGTCTTTACTCTTAAACTTTGGTTATATGATGAAGTTTCTGGTATACGACTTGCACCTGGCCAATGAATCAAATACAAATCAATGTATGAGGTATTAAGTGCCTTAAGAGACCTTTGCACAGACTGTTCTATTCCTTCTGGATCACCATTTTCACTAGGAGCTATTACATACATAACAGTTTAATTTGTTTTACAGTTATTCATTTAAAAGCATTATTAATACGTACAAAGCTTAGTTGTAATAAAAATATCACTCCTCTGAAGATTATATTTGGGTAATAAATGTTTTAACGCATAACCAATATCTCCTTCATTTCTATACACTGCAGCTGTATCTATGTATAATAAATGATAAGTTATAAATTTATAAAATGTATTTATAATTAGATAAATAAATAGTATTGACAATTTCATTATGTACATACCAATAGAACGAAAACCTACTTTTAAACTTTCATCTATTACTTCATATATTACATTTCTTCCCTGAATTTTATATGTTCCAACTAAAATAAAAATGGTTTATGTGAAAAGGATGAGTTGAATTTTTATTATTATTTTAATATCTATCTTAAAGTTATAAATATTATAGATATATTAAAGTACATATATAGATAATGATTTGTTGAAGGTAAAAAGTAATATATAGTATTTATTATATTTCAATAAGCTTACATCCAATAAGGGGCATATCATAGCCACTTGAAAGACGAACATTTTTCATTATATTGGCCATAATATTACATCTAATTTATGTTTATTATTATATTTGTAATATACATGTGCATATTCACACATATGTATGTTACTATTGTTTATTATATAACTATGGCATTATTATTTTAGAGTGCCATCGTTAGTAAAATGAAATTAATTAGAAGGGAATTATCTTTTGTTATTTAGTACTATTTTATAATATATACAGTATACAATATATAATATATAAGATTAGAGTTTTTAAATCTAGTTTTGATATATTAAAGTTACATTAATAATAGACGAATAAAAAAATATTGGTACATTGTACCACGTTCTATAATATACGTACTTCGTGGCAGAATGTTTCCATCTGATTTTGACAGTTGACGTCTAAGTTTTCTTTTAATTTAATGTTTATAACACTTTGTAAACTACAAATGTAAATAGATTTAAAGTGAAAATAAAATAGTTAGATGTAGAATGGCAGAAGAAAATGAAATTTCATCACAACAGAAATTCGAAACCACTGGAGAGATTACGAAAGAAATGGAGGCTGATATCAGCCGCTATTTTGAAAATGCATCTCGCACGATTTTCGACGAGATTGTTTCACCTAAGAAAGAAGATTTCTTTGACATGCAAAGAAGTTCAGGAAGTAGAATTCCAGATTTCGAATTATTAACAGATCAATCAAATGAATTTTTAAAAAGTAATTCATTGCTCGGTAATGAACGACTCGATCATAGTGGCACAAGTGATGTACACAGAGATGCATGGGTACCTTCTGAACAAACAAGAAAAATTCTACGAAGTGTTGCCACATCAACTGCTGGGACTACATTCCTCGACAGAGAAAACTTAACTATGCCAGGGCTTGCAGTTCAGGGAGATATGCCAAATTTAATTAAGAGTACTGTTGTACGTTTTCTAGGTGAAGATGAAAATATGCAGAGACATGTACTTACTGCTTCTGATGTAACTCAAGATGAACGTGGTTTAAGGAGATTAATACAAGCTGGTTGTTATAAAGCAGCAATAAATTTATCAGGAAGATTATTAGCAGTGTATGCTCAAGGATATGGCAAGATAAATCAACCTAGTAAACATTCTCCACATTCCTTGCAACTATGGTATACACGGCTAGCTTTGTTAACTAAACTCAAGCAAATTGATATTTTAGAGAATGAGTCTAAACCATTTGGTAATCTCGATAAGCCAGACATGTATTTTACATTTTATCCAGAACTTTATGGTACTAGACCAGGTTCTATGGCTTCCTTTTCCTTTAGATTGCTTTTGGCTGAGATTCCAATGTATTGTGGGAAACCAAAACAAGCATTGGATAATCTTTACAAAGTTTTAGCAACAGTGAACCAAATTATAGCTAATTTTAGTTCTGGATTCAATGGAGATGGATCACGTGTTAAAATAAATCCTGCAGAACAAGAGGATGCTATTAGATTGTGGAAAGGCAGAAGATCCAGAGTTTTTATATCTATCACTAACTGTGCAGTTAGTATGAAAAATTATGTATTGGGTATAGATATTTTAGAAAGACTTTGTGAATCTGCAGATTGGACACCTGAACAAATGGATGCATTGAGAGCCAGCATAGGTAGATTGCATTTATTTTTAGGAGATGTTTCAGCAGCAGACAAATTTTTAATCAATTTACATAAAAAGGACAGTGGTCCTACTGTTCAGGAGTTAACAGACAGAGGATTAATGGCAGTAGCTCACAATTCTTTCCAGGAAGCATACAAGTGTTTCCAAGCAGCAGAAACATTAGATCCATCAAATATTACATTAATTAACAATATGGCTGTTTGTCTCTTATATACAGGTCAGTTGAAAGCAGCAGTACATTTGTATGAAAGTATGATAACAAGAAATCCTGTAAAAAGTCTGCAAGAACCTATACTATTAAATATATGTACCTCTTATGAATTGCATACAACTCATTGTAAACAACCAAAATTACATTTATTGAGTCAATTGAACAGATATAAAGGAGATGCTGTAGATATACAGTGCCTGAAACTTCCTTTAAATTGAAATCATTGCTTTCGTCCATGTACAGTATATGATAGGTCGAGGATAAAACTTAAAATCTGTTATTTAATTATTAAAATGGTTGAACCAAGCAATGTATAAATTTTAACAATAAAAGTCGGTTTTAATCGTGTTCTTAAAAATTTACTACTTTTCCTTTTAGTTTTTACCTAATTTTATAATTATTAAATTATTTTATGTTTTTATTTGTCACATGATCTTGTTTTTATTTAAATTATTAAATTATTGAAACTAACTTTAAAATTCAATCGTCGATAAAAATATTTATCATTTTTGTGTCACTCCCAAGATTATCGACTTAGCATAGAATAAGATTGCAATACTACCAGTGGTTAAAATTCAAACTAAATATGATGAAAATTATTAAATTAAATTCAAAGGACATTATAAATCAGTCAAATTTTTATAAAATGTTAAATCTGTATCGAATTAATCATGTTTATTATAAATTTATTTTTCAAATTTTAAACATTCATAATTATTTGACCTTCTTTATTAATATAAAGAATGTTTCTAATGAAACGTTTATTGAAACTAAAAATTTATTCCAGTTAAATAGTTCATTAAATAAATTGTATGCAGACAAATGAAATAGTGTCACTACCCAATAAAATGAAAATAGGGGTCTATATCTAGTAATATAAATGGAATATGTGTATGTAATTTTGCATATGTATGCAACTTTATACGTATAAATACTTATATAATTCTATACGGTTAGACAAATAACCTATGCCATTTCCAATTCTAGAATCAGAATGGGCGGAGATACTGAACAACTGACTCCGCCTCCGGGCCCCTAATGGGTAGGAATCACTAAATTATTGGTCCCACTAATAAAATTTTAATAGGCATAATTAATTTCTTGATGGATGGTGAGATTTCATTTCATCTTGCATAATATTTTTATATGAGGAATAATTGATCAATGTTTCGCTTATCACAGTTCTAAGGTTTAAGGAACACAGGTTAAGAAATGCAACATTGATGTCAAAGTAAAATAGCCTTTATTACATCGTGAAACGAGGACAATTTAATGAACGTTCAACAATTGCTAGAATTCTCTCTCTCTCTCTCTCTCTCTTTCTTTCTTTCTTTCTTTCTCTCCCTCCCGTTCGTCCTTTCATACACGCACTCATTCTTTCTTCTCACTCTCTCCCCACATTTGTGTCACTCGGCTTCAACTGTATACACTTTTATCTCGCACCTCTTTTCTTCCTTTCGTCTCTTCGTTTTTATTACTTGTTGTTTTCACCTCATCTGACATATGTAATTGTCGTGCTCGTAATGTTCTTCGAGAATAATGCATTACAGGACACATACTTTGTCACCATGTCAAACGTAACCTTGTCGATCTATCCGCGTTATCAATCTTTATATCCTGCCCCTTCTGTCCGCCTATTTTTCGTCACGCTATAAGATTGTTGACGATTCTAACATGATTCTTCCTTTTTACTCTCTCTTTCTTTCTCGTGACTTATCTTGCTCTATTAGTAGGCGGTACATTAATAGCATACACCATTCAGATCGATTCCAAAACTGCACTCTCTCTCCCTGCAGAAAAAAGGCACGAACTGGCGGAAAAGTCGGCCTAACTGTATAATATTTTCATTTATTTTATTATGGATGGAACTTCGTCACAATACATTATTTTTAATTTCATTTCTTTTCTCTGCTGCTTCTTTCCGCAGTGTGTAATAGATTCGGCTTCACTTTTGTTTCAGCCGAATTAATCGATTCGTGCTTCGAAAGTTCGCCGCGTAGTGCGCGCAGTGTTCAATTCGCCCCCTTTTATTATATTTTTATCTTTCTCTACCCCTCTTTTTTCTTTATTTCATTCCTCATCTCGAATGCCCATTATCAACGATCGAACTTTTGAAAGGAGATCGTTTTAGTTAGAATAACGTATTTTTGTAACATTAATCAGCGATTTAATTACAAGAATATACTCCTTCTCCAAAAAGTGGTTATTATTTTGAAATTTATATCGAATCAAAGTAACTAATTTATAGTCCTTGCTTCGATAATATCGTGCAATATTAAACAATGTGAAATTATGATATTTTGAAACGAAATTGGTACAATTGCAATTTTTTTTAATAAATTCCCATTGGAAGTTAGAATTAAAACATTATACAGTGCAATTGTTTTTCGAGCTATTTTGCAACCGCTCGCTTCAACACCACGAGATCATTTCACCCGGAGAAGGCACTGCGTCCACTACGCAGCTGGAACCTTCCGGCTTTCATCTTTTTTCCCCCTCCCTCCACCATCCTCTCAAGTATCTACCGCATATTACGCTTCACTGTTACAATAACATCCGCATTGCTATTCCTGGCGACTAAATGTAACCTTATGAATGTATTACCTATGTACATATATGCTGTGCCGTGTTCACACACGTATCCACACGAACACAAGGAACGCGCGCGCATACATACGTGTGTAGGCATGCATTTAGCAAATTTATCCTCTTTTTCACACTTACGATTTATATGTATATATATATATACGTATATATATATACTATTGTAATTAATGCTTACGTTTTCTAACCTCTAAAAAGAAACGGTATTATTATTGTCCTGCCATATCTTTTTCCGAGTATTTATCTTGTGTACATACACGCAACACGCATACGCTTTTCATGCACACACGCACGATTCTGGTGCTTATGTAACGTAGTCATGGAAAGCTCGATGGCATAACCACCAGTGTTCGTCGAGTACAATTTAAAGCGAACATTTTATTATCCTCGCATGCTTCTCGTCCAAGACAAAATCACAATACGTTCTCGTGAAATTCGTTAAACACCTTTCGTAGAGCATATGTAGAGAGCGCTCAATATTAAGGTATTTTTTTGCAACTTTACGAAGATACTCTGCTATACATAATTTATGGCACACTATTTACTCGCTCTATGTTTATTGTCCACGGTAGAGGAAACAGTTCTTCGATAGATGGGAGAAGCATCGCGGGGATAATGTTACTTTCGACGAGAGAATTCATTTCGAGATCGAATCATTGAATTTCTATGTTATTTCGGTAACTAGGCAAGCTCGGTCGTTCACGGAAGGCATCGTACGGTGCTCATTTTTTTTAAATCGTTGCATCAACAATCATTAACAATTTTTTTTTTTCTTTTTTTCTTGTATTTCTCTCCTCGTTTTCTCATATTTCGCTTGTTTCATGCTCTTACGAGTATTCATTTAGTTAATTACTTCTTTTTTTTTTTTTTTGTTAGTTTTCACGTAATAGTTTAGGAAGTAACGGAGACATAATCGATGCCGGTGCGCGAAAGCTGGCAAAATTACGCTTTAGTCTGTCTGTTATTTAGTAGTACGTACATACATACATCGAGGCGAGCAGGTTGCAAATACTCCCGAATCAGAGCAAATATTTCTATTTTTATATATCTATATTTATATTCATATATTTATATATTTATATTTATATATATATAATTTTTTTTTATTCTTCATTTAGTCACTTATACGTATGCAATATTGTCTTCGTAAATTTCCTGCTTTTCCTTCCTGATGTCCTAAACCCGTTGGTCGTGAAAGTATTCGAAAGTACAGAATTGAGGCTTTTCCGAGAGTGAGAACAAGAATAATTGAATAAAAA